CAAGTGAGGAATCACTGAAACCCAGGGACTATTATTATACCACTGATGTTCGCACTTCAGAATGAAGAACCGGGAAACCAGTGCAGAACATGCCATCCCGATGACTCTTCATGCATTTTAGCTTGTGTATTACCCTAAACTATGCCGTGAATGTTGGACACGGCTGTTCATTTTCCTTAAGGTCTCATGAGTCCTAGTCTATACTGGACGGGATGCATTTCTGACAGGACTAAACTCAGTATCCTAGGCTACCTTCCCTGTGGTGACAAACCAACTGTTATCTAAAGAATCTGTGGTTTCCCAGCATTTATTCCAGAGGTGTTCCACATTATACACTGGATGGGGGCAGGTAGGCAAGTCATGTAAACAAAATTCGGAATACTGTGAAATCATCTAGGTCCTTCCTCATAAGCTTTCACTCTCAACTAACAGTACAGGTATGGTCCCCAGCTTAACTGTGGTTCCACTTGCGATGTTTCAGCTGTATGTTTTGTGAAAGTGGTATCGATTCCATAGAAAGCCCACAAATCTGAGGTGATTTTCCCCCCAGGCTAATGATATGTAGTATGATATTGTCTCAACCTGCTGCACAATGGCAATAGGCTACAGCTCCCACTGGGCCACATGTCACACGGCAAACAGCGAATGCTTATCACGCATTGTTATGTTGTGATGACCAGTAAGTATATCAGGTGCATCACAGACTCCATTGGCTTATAATGTTTTCAGTGTAAAATGAGTCTATAAGGATATATCAGCATGATAAGTCTGATGACATCAATATACAGAAAGTAGAGTTTAAATATAAAAGAGCCCTTCTAAATTTGGCAAGCAAAATCGGCAAGAATACTTGAAGAATGGGAAGGATGGAACATTTTTTAAAATATCTGTGAAATACTGAAAGCGTACTTTGAAATTAGTCTTTTTGAAATGCAAGTGCTAAGGGTAGACATTTCTGTCTTTGTTTTGTGGGAGGTGGATTTAGTTTCTTACCTCTTGTTTACTTATAAAATTCAGATACCTAGTCTGGCTAGGACAGTCATAAAGCAAGATTATCGTGTGCTCTTTAGTAGCTATTGAATGAATTAAAACAGCTAACATTAGTGCTCTGAGCCATGACAGTTGGTGCTTTCCAGTGCTTCTGTTGGAAGCCATGTGCAATATGTGGTTGGGGGGAAAGGATGCATGGGTCCCAGTTTGGTTTAGATTCAGGCACGAGCTAGGCTCATCCTCTCCTTTTATTGCACGCCTGGAGAAAGCAGTTGCTCCTGTGCCACCTCCGCTGTCTGTTTTGCCACCTGAAGTAGCTTGCCCCTTCTTCACAGGGTTCTGAAAGTGCTCCGTCCTCTGTACCCGAGTCGCAGGTTAACCCACTGTGCTCCTCTTAATGACGGAGGGAATATGAGCCTACCCAAGGTGCATAGGCTTGCCAGAGAACATCAGATCAGGTCGGATCTGTGTCATCATTTTCGAATTATCCGTGGTCTCAACCATGGGCTTCTGACTTGAAGAGAAACCCCAGGTACCACAGTGTCACGAGACAGCACTCACCACAAGTCCCTGTGTGTCCTCGTCACTCCGCTTTTAAACATAGCGCCGTTTGTAGTTTTTCCACTCACACCAAGTCGCTTCTCAACGCTGACATTTTGCTACTCTTGGAACCCTCCACTTGGCACGGATTATTTAGAAACTTATTCCAGGGGTTTAGGAGTAACCAGCATATCTTTATCACTTGAAGTTACTGTGGGTTTCTTTTTTAAAGTCCCATTTCATGAATTTCAAAAGTAGCATTTACATAATATAAAATAAATCCACCAGCTGTCTTAACCCAGCCATGAACCCTGGACTTCAGTAATGACTGGTTTGATAAGATATGTCCTTGGCATTCATATTATGAAGATTAAACAAGTGCTTTCTGGTTTGATTTAAGATCCTCTGCACAGTACAAAACAAGGGCCAGTACTGAAAATCTAGCCAATAAAATAAATGCTATTATTTTACTCAATGGACATAGTATTAAACTTTCCTCTAACGCCGCATCTAAAAGTATAGTTCTCAGACATGGTCAGTGACATTTATTTGTGCAGTGGATAGTGGTTCACACACGATTCACAGCTGATCGAAGTGTAAAGAATAATTGACTCTAGAGCAGTGGTTCTCAACCTGTGGGTTGCTACTCCATTGGGGATCAAATGACCCTTTCACGGGGGCCACATATCCTGCATCTCCAATATGCACATTATGATTCACAACAATAGCAAAATTACATTAGTAAAGTAGCAATGAAAATCATGTTATGGCTGGGGGTCAGCACAACATGAGGAACTGTAGTAAAGGGTCACAGCATTAGGAAGGTTACGAGCCACTGCTATAGAGCACACAGCTGCAAAGAGGACAGCTGTATCTCTCCCTTTCCCAAGGCTCAGGGATCATTTTAGAAGGGGGCCAGAAAGATGATAAGTGCCAGAGGTCAGAGAGGAGTCAATCAAAACTGTCCTCTGGACGTGGCAGGATGACTGCACTCCTGAACTCAGTGGCTGTGGTTGCTGCTCAGAATCAAGCCAATCAACATGGTAGCATAGTGCGGGAAGGCATTCATAAGCCCCAGCTCCTAACTAAGGAGCTACAGGCAGCTGGTGGCTTCTGATGAAGATTCAGGGATGACGCTCCTGGCAAGCCAGCCACACTCCTGTGGACGAGTTCACACCAATGACTATATGAACAGCTCATAACAAATTCCTAGGTCCTAGATGAAATCTTATTTCTACTAGTATCCTGTTACTGTTACTATGACTCCTTCTCTGCTAAGTAGACATAGTACTCCACCATCTTCTGATGACTATTGCAACCTTAGATTGATGCTTCTCTCAGTCCTCATCAGAGAAACTACTTCTTTCAGTAGGTGCAGTTAACATGGAGACTCCCAAGAGTCAAAGTGCAGAAAAGAGATTGCAGAATGCTCAGTGCTGAACAGCACATCTGTATCACACCCTTCCTCCCAAAACTGCAGCATCTTTGAGGGAGACGGCAGGGAAAGAGCGTAAGAGGAAGAGGTGGTGGGTGACCACAAAGAATGCTGTCTCTTCGTACAGCAGGGTGGCTGCCTGTAAGAACCCACCGTGTTGTAACAGTATGCTCAAGATCTGTGCAACCTCAAATCATACAGAATTCCAGCACGGAGAAGATAGGTGTATATGAAGTCTCACCCCTCAGCTAATAGCTCCTTAGAGTAAATTGGTCTGTTTCTTTAAATAGGTAGCATCTGGTAGGTCACCCACACTCCTTCGGTAGACCATACATCCAAGAGTATATAGGAATCACAAGTTTCCTTGACGAGTTTAAAGAAAAGAGTATTCAAAGTTGGATGGTTGGAGAAGTAGAGATGGATCTGGGGTGATTTGGAGGGCAGTAAATTGGATCAAAATATAGTAAATTCTCAAAGAACAAAAATACAAGTGAGAAAAAAGAAAAATGAGTGGATAAACTAAAAAAGTAATGATCTAATCATTTCTTTAAGGCACAAACAACCCTTCATGGCAAAATATTGTCTGCATTTGAGAACTTGCTCTAAATATATTTAATGTTCATTGGATAAATGAATTAGTCTAGAATGGACTCTTGTCCTGACTTTACCATAACTAGCGCTGTCCAGGTCTTTTAGCATTTCTTGTTCCCTGTCTCACACAGAGAAGATCACGCAACTGACAGAAGCCTGTCCCTGTGTTTCCCATCTCTAATGCAAATATCCTAACAGGGAATAAAATCCTAGAGCAAGATTAGTGGCCAACAAAAGTTTCTCGGGCTCTTTACTTTCAGCATGTCTCCACTACACACTTACATATATTTCCAAAACAGGGAAAATAATATAGATGAAAGACTATACTACAAATGAAGTCTTATTCATGTCAAGAAGGCCTAAATTCTGTGCTGTAGACATCACTCAAGTCAAATCGGCATTAGGAGTAGTAACATATGTATAAAGAGATGGATATGTTACAGGATGCTGTGCCTAAAGAGGGGAACTCTCACCCAGCTGTTGCAAGAGTCGCAAGCACACACTCTGTCCACTTCTCTTCCCATTGACAGTGGCCAGTGCTGTCCTCATTTCTAAACTGCTATTAGCAGCATTTTTAATTTATAAATTTCTGATTAAAGATATGGGGTGCTATTGACAATGGCAGGTTAAAATGAAAGAAAGGGAGATCTAGTGAGCTCCCTTTCATGTCTGTAGCATGAAGCTCCTTTGCCTCTACCATCTGACCTTCCTTTCTTTGTCCACTTTGGGACATTGGTTGGCTGTGCACTTTCTGGCCTGACTATCTGATTTCTTACATGGCATTTCTGCAGTCTTACCAGCCTGCTTGAACTCTACTGGCCACTCAAACCCATCTGATATCTGCCTGCTTGCAGGTCTAGGGGAAAGTTGCTGAGCTTCCCTAACTGGAATAAAAATCCCTTTGCTTTCTAGATCCCAGGAACCAATAAGATTCATCTCATTTACCATCCCAAATGTTGTATTTGAACAGAAAACACAATGCCTTGGAGCTTTTTATTGTACCTGAGTTTTTCCACCTAGGTAGAGCAAGTCTTCTCAATTTTTCTCTTCTCTGCATTCTCTCTTAGGAAGCTTCCTTAGCCCCTGACAGTGCACTCTCTCCAGAGGCACTGTCTTTACTGATGTGCCTGTAGACTTTCCTCTAAGCTCTACACTCTTTATTCATCATCTTCCTTATTAATACACTAACAGTAACATGGCAACTGCTGAGCAGTTATTGAAAAATTAGATTCCTATTATTGGAAACACAGATTCTAAAGTGTGATAGATACATCTGGAAAAGGGAAGTGGATAAAGTGTAATGCCAAAGGTCTGGGTAAATAATAAATCTGAGTGCACAACATGAGTCCACAAATGGATCGACCCGTGCTGCTTCCTCCATGGTCAAGTAGATTGTTGTAGTGGGTGTTTAGACTACAATAAATGGTTGTATGTTTTCTTCCAGGGCGGACACCCAGGGTCTATGGGGCCTCCTTCTGTTGCCCCATCATTCCGGCCAGAAGATGAGCTCGAGCACCTGACCAAGAAGATGCTGTATGACATGGAAAACCCCCCTTCTGACGAGTACTTTGGTGAGTGGGACTCGGAGCTGAATGCCTAAGGAAATGCTTGTTCCATTTTCCCTACTGAGGAAGTGGAGTTATGGTCAGTTGCACTGATGCCGTGTTTGCATCCAGTGCATGAGAGGTAGTGTTTATGCACACAGCACTGTGCATTTCTCACCAGACCACCATGAAGAAGAAATGCAGTCTGCTTGGACTCAAAATCTCACTGGTTCTTACAGTTATTTGATATGCACAATCAAGACACACTTTGGACGATTTATTAGCTTCACATACGGCAAAAATAGAGCATAGATCATCTTTTGTCCATGTAGCTCTAAATACTTATGAATAACATGGAAATTGATATGGCTTAACTGTATTCTCGAGTCTTATGACTGAATGCAGGAGGGAGAAATACCTCTTTCTGTTTGTCACTTCTTCCCTCTTCTAAACTATGAATAACTATGACTAGTTAGTGTTATTCTTCCCAGTCCATCAGTGCAAGTTGGAGGTACGTGTCATTTGTGAGATGCTGTGGACAGTCAGGGGAACTGTGATGCAGAAGGGATGAGACACACATACACACACTCAAGTGATCGTGAGTGTGTAGAGGAAATGCCAGGAGTCCTCTGTACTCTCTGGGAACACTGAAGAGCAGGAAGTCACCCTTGAACCTGAAGCCTCTAAACCAGTCTTCAATGTAGAGATTGTTTGCCTTTCTATCTTTTTTTTTTAAATGGTATTTTTGTAGCATGTAAGTAAATTAATTCTTGGAAAATAAATTTAAAACTGCAACCTATTAAACTGTGAAATAGGAGGTGAAGTTTTATCATGACATTTCAGAGACACTCCATTACCCACTTAAGCTGATATAATAGTTTCTAAACATTTGTTTCTCCACTTCGTGTTAGTCTCATCACATGCTCTCAGAGTAGGTTCTCGAAGGATAGGTAGAGAAAGGCTACATGTGTCTCAGTAATGAGTAAAGGCTCCAAGGCAGAGAACTGAACAGGCTTTTGCATCCTCCGATATTCCCTGGCTTCATGACTTCTCTTTAATGTCCTATTCTGTTGGGGACTGTGGACCCCCAGACCATGAATTTTCTATGACTCTTTGCCCAATGGAGTAAACAGCTTGTTTTCCTGTGCTTGCAGCTGCTCTGAGCACAAGACCCTGATGGCAGGGGAGTGGTTTCTGGTGTGCTTGCAGCTGAAGGATCCCAAAAGCTAGGGCATGGCCATTGGTCAGAGAAGGCACTATATAAGCTGCCCTGGAACACAATAAAGTTGGCATTCTTGATTCAAGGGGACATTCTTTGTATTCTTGTTCCAAGGATGCCCCGTGTCTCTGTGTATATGTGTGTTTCGATCTCAAGCCCCTTGCCTGGCTGTGAACCATCCTATAGTGCAGGCGATAAGCTACAGGAGTAGTACCATAGTACATGTAGTACAGGTTCTACAGGACCGTAGTACACGTAGTAGTACTGAATACACAGTGGAAGAAAAACTGAGGCCCCTGGCCCAAAGCTGGAAATGTATGGAGGAGGGAAAGCAAACATTCTGTACACAGATGTTTCTATAGTTTAGCTCAAAGGGTATGAGGTGGAAATAGAGAGCTCTGATCCTTGAGCCTAGGAGATGGCTCAGCCGCTCTTCTGGTTTGTTTTGCTATTACTCTCCCTGAGTGGCATGACCAAAAGCAACTTGGAGAAGGAATGGTTTATTTCATTTTGCAGGTTACAGTCCATCATTGAAAGAAGTCAGGGCAAGAACTCAAGGCAGAAACCATGGAGGAATGCTGCTGCTTACTGGCTTGCTCCCAGGCCTGCAGCCACCTTTCTTATACAACCCAAGCCTACCTGCCTAGAGATGGTACCACCGATTGTGGGCTAAGTCCTGCTATGTCAATTAGCAGTCAAGAACATTACCCATAGACACATTGGCCACAGATCGGCACACAGGCCAGTCTGATGGGATACAACTCTATAGTGATGGTTCTTTCTTCCCTAATGTGTCAAGCTGACAATCAAGATGTTAATAGTTGACATGGTAACCGTTTAACCCTAGAACCCACATAGTGGAACAGAACTGACTGCTGCAAGTTGTCGTCTGAACTCACAAGCATACTGTGGCTCATACATCTCTCAGGCTCATTTCCTGAGCCTCCGCACACACTAAATAAGCAAGTAAATGTTAAAAAAAATATTTTTATATAATAAAGAAACCTGATTCTGGTCCCTGCTGTGCCCCCTGACTAGCTAAGTATTGCTAGCAGGTCCCTCTACTGCCTGAGCCTCGATTCCCACCTTGGTGATTCAAGGTGTATAGAACAAACGATCCCTTGCATTTCTTTCAACACTAGCAAATTCACAGTGGAAACAACATCAGTCCAGTGAAGTAAAACGGTGAGGCTATACATGAGACTGTGGGAGTTGGCACAAGCGCATGGAAAATAGTAAGACGGAAACAAGCAAGGGTAATATCAGGGGATAGGGAAAGTTTATTGCACTCTTCTCATTGTAATAGGAGGAGGGCGGGTGTTAGCATCCACGATGAAAAAAAAAACTGAAGAAAAAGTTAATGATGTAAGGTAAGCCATCTGTAATTATATTAAAAGTGAAAAGCTAAATTCTAAGTGTGCGTGTCCCAGCTATTTTGCCACAGAATCTGCAGTGATAAATAAAGTAAACTGAACAACTGGATCAATGGGCAAATGCTGCACACTCAGAAAACAGACAAAAATGACCTTAGAGCTCTCTTAGCTTTATGGCAGACTAGCTTAGAAAACTCGAGCCCACGATTCTCTAGGCCTCCTCCTGTGCTCTTTCCTCCACAGCGTGGAAACAATAGCTGTCTTACACTGTGATTGTGAGCAATACATGAAACATTTATAGAGCGCACTCAGCCAAGGTCTTGGCATGTAGAATGTGTTCGATAATCAGAGTTCACCAAAGCTCCAGAGACATGCAGCTTATTTAAGAAAACAAGATATCCCTATTAAAAATCCATCAATAACATTTGATTTAAATTTAAGTTCTAGCAAAAGTAAAAGGTGCGTCACCAGCAGTCAAAGTAATCATTGCCAAGTGGAGTTTGCTATGCGTGAGAGTGAGAGCTGGGGAAGGGCTGGGCTTTACTGAGTGTTTGTGCTGTGGCGTTACTAGTTTATGAACTTCAGAAATTATTTCACCCTTATGGAGGAATATCATCCTGTGAAGTAGATGTCACAATCATCTTCCCATTAGAGAATTAAGGCCCAGGAATGTTAAGTGTTTACCCAGTATCACCAAGTAAGGAGCTGCCGAACTGCATCGAAAACTGTACACCGGGCCTATATCCTTGAACACCATGCCCTCAGATGGGCGGAGTTAGATCGTAAACTCAGGGAAGGGTTTAGAGGGGAGATTGCCTTTGGAGAGACGGGCAATTCAGGATGGGGATTCTCTTCTAAATAAATAAAAACATCATGTAAGTGATGCCACGACTGTGTAAAAAACCTGGGCGTGGTTCTGGGCAGGCTAATCTTGTGGTGTTTGCCACAGGCCTGTGTTTTCCCTTGGAAAATGTTTATGCCCCACAGGGCCCAGTGAAAAATTATGGTGTGTTACTGTAACAAGAACACAAAGTGGTACGTGACTTCATCCACATTCAGCCACCATTCTGAGAAACTTCAGGGAAAGAAGGCATATCTAGAAGCAGCAATAGAAAGATAGTTATGGAGTCCTTAAGCTTTGGGTGAGCATTTATACTTAGTTTAATTAAACTTGGGAAATAGGAAGATCCTAGAGAAGTGGGACCATTTCTGATGAGGAAACTTTTGACACAAAATGCGGGGGGCCAGAGGCAGAGAGTGGAATAGAAGCCCCCATGGCAAATATCACGCTTGAAGGAAAGAGTCAGTGGAAACAGGTTCAAAGGGTTTCTAAGCCCTGACTGTGGCCTTTGGACTTCACCTTCTCTAAGGAGTCACCTGCTGGCACCCAGTGCTAGGGACTGTCCATGGGAAGTTTTCACAAGCATAGCCTCAGAGAATAGTTTTAATGCCATCTTGGCTCATGTTGCTCAGCAACGTAAAGTCAGGATCCTCCCTGTGCTAGTTGGGTCACTCAGTAAGTGACCATATCCACAGATTGGCCTGAGATGCTTAGGATACCGGGAACATGATTTAGGTGTGTTTGAAATTTTAGAGGAAAGAAACCCATCAGGGGCCCAACCTGATAACTGCTGAAAAATAAGTAGCCGGTGAAATGGACATGGGCAGTAGTAACATAGGCAAGGCATGGGAAAGTTGGAAGTTCCCAGTGAGTATGGAAAACTAACGTTTGAACAGACAAAGCAAAATCCTTGCGAAATGTAGCTGAAGAATCTTCTCTGTGCTGTTGAAGCTGATAGTGACTCCATCTTTCATCCTGAGCCCGACTCGGACATTATGACTTAATTTTCTGAAGTCACCCTTAGTAGATGGGCCTGTGAAAGAGTCCATTACATCAGGTTTAAATGCCAGCACTTGGGGGGCAGAGGCAGAGAGATCTCTGAGTTCAAGGCCAGGACATCCAGGGCTACGTAAGGAAACTCTGTCTCGGGATGGGTGTGTGTGTGTGTGTGTGTGTGTGTGTGTGTGTATTTAATGAGTCGGATTGAAGTTTTTTTAAAGACATTTTAAAACCCTTGTTTGCCTCTTCTGTCATCTGAGCTAGACAGCAGCGTGGGTAAGAGGGCAGTAAATTCCTTTCTGTCCATAGATGAAGAAACCCAGGAAGCAGGTACTAATGAGCCCCCCCCACCCCGCTTTCCAGGACACTATGCTGCCCTCGCTGTCAGAGCACCAACAAGGAGCCGCATGGCCCTGGCTCAGCCCTTCAGACCCCGGTCTCTTCTCTGCTCTTCTTTCACCATTTGCCGAGCTGGTCACGGACCAGTTAGATCAGTTACCGTACTGTGTCTGAGCTTTCAGATGTGTACCGAGAGCCGGGTGATTGCTTTGGAAATTGCTTCGCGGGTCTTAACTAAGGTGCCAGGTGATTTGAA